TGAATAAATTTAATAATTTTGCTTTTACTAGTCATAGCTGCCAGTGTAATCCTCCTCCCGTCTTTCAAAAATGTTTCTGAGGTTTTGAAAGGTATTACATTCATCAAGGAATAATTTCAGGATCTTTTTCCAAGGACAGAAATTATTTTCATCCTATAATTTCCATAATAACCATTATATTTCAAAATTAGTGCTTTTGACCTCCATCCATCTTCTCTATGGCCTTTTGCAACATCTAATTATAGGAGATTCATGTGACAGATGTCTAGAATTTTGGTTCCTCTCCATGCTTCTTATTCTAATATTATCCTACAGGGAGAGGTCAAGAAAAAGGAGGAATATAAATGTAGCATTTTCTCAAATATTGGATTGGCCAACATTTTGAAATGTTTGAATGTTCAAAATATTTCACTTAAAAATGCCATGGTATGTTGACCCTGAGAAAAAAGAGAGGAAGAAATTTCTCCCATTCATAATATCTTGTTCCATGTGGAGTCTCAAGGATTTCAAAGAGTGAGGATATGGACAGATTATTTTTGTTCCTTTGAATAGTTGTTTTATGGATTCTTGGTGCATACATGATATTGTTGTTCTTTTAATTTTGTGAAGCCACTAGTGCCATATGGAGTTGTCAGTCTAGAAATAAAACAACATAAAATAAAATATTTCCCAAAGGACTGTTAAATTGGGTGAATGAGGATACAGCAAGCCAGGCAGTGAGTGACAACAGCTCTTTATTGTAGGGTGAGAACCCAGCAACTGACCTAGGGAAACAGCTCCCCTTATATACCTTGCAGCTGTGGTGGTCAGCCAATCAGCTGATGGTCAGTTAGTTCAAACTTCCCGCCAAGAAACCTATTTACATAACAAGGACAATTATATGAATGGAAGGGAAAGGAGAGAGGAAAGGAAAGAGGAGAGAGGAGAGAGAGGAAAGGAAAGGAAAGGAAAGGAAAGGAAAGGAAAGGAAAGGAAAGGAAAGGAAAGGAAAGGAAAGGAAAGGAAAGGAAAGGAAAGGAAAGGGTTGCTCTGAGGTAAGATGGGTAGCCAATAAATTTTTATTTATTTATTTATTTATTTATTTACAATAAATAAATAAATAAATAGATTGAAATAAGGGAAGAGAAGGGAAAGGAAAGGAAGGGGAAAGAAAAAGGGAAAAAAGAAATGCAAAGGAGGATATTCATTGGTATCTTTTACTAAATAAGGACAAGAGAGCAATTCAGTCCATGAAATCATTATCCTATTTCTCTATTGTCCTAAATATTATAATTCCTTAGTGGAAGTTTAATTTTGTTATTTGGAGAAACAGTTTACTGGCTGAAACTGTTCTCCCATATCCAGGAAAGTAATTTACCTTATCTATAACATGGGAGAAATACAGAATGTTACTTAAATGTGCACTAAAATGAGACAGAGGAGGTGATATTAGATGAGGAACAAAGAAGGGTTGGCCCTAATTAAAAATGTTTCTACAGTAAATAATGCTTGATCAAAAACCACAAAACTTATTTATCAGGCAAAGTTTTGCTCTGTAAATTGATTGTTTTCCTCCTGCCACCAGGATATGTAGCTAAATTATTTTTTCATGCACAATCTGAAAAGCTTATTCAAGTGATTCTAAGGATGTATAAATCAGTGTGAAAATGATTTAGTATTGGAATATTTATCTTCTGTCTTCAGGATACATCAGTATGAAATAAAACCAATCAAGTTTTATCTTGCTGCCTGAACTCTCTGCCTGCATGTCTGGATCTTTTCACAAGAGGGAAAATAGCTGCAACTCTGATAGTCTGAAGAACCAGAACTGGGGAGAAAAAAACACCAAATATTTAACAGGTCAGAGAGAAGGATTGCATTTGGAGAAAATAATGGAAATGTATGAATGGTGTTTGCCCAGGAATAATGTTTTGGGTTCGAAGGAATTCAGAAAAATGTTTCAACACTGGGTTTTTTTCTCTTTGAAGAAAAAAAATCTATTCATAATTATGGGGTTTTTTTCTTCTCTGTTTTTGTCTTCTCTTAAAGAGACGGGTTCAGTTTAGTGATACGTATCTCCAATTAAAAGGACCCCACCTATAATAGTACCAGAAATTAAATAGTACCAGAAATTAAAGAAAACACCTCTTTGTAGATCTGATTAGATTTGCTGCTAGATTAGGTAAATTGGAGGCAAAATTGAGAAATAGGCTCATATACTTTAAAGAACATTTCTGATCTTTTGAGGGCTTTTATTTAAAAGTTTTATTTACTTATGTGAAAAAAGTAAGCATGGATGAAGAGATGGTTTGACTACCTCCACTGATTCCTATGAGCTGGAGTCAAGCATCTGGAATGAAAACATTTCTTTTTTTATTTATTTATTTGGATTATACATATCATTTAGAACCCTGATTTTCCATGGTTCAAAATCCACTCACAATTCAGAACATGCTTTTACCTGATCCATACCTTGTTCTTCTTCTAGGGAAGCAGGGCAGCTTAACTCCAAGAGGGTCTCAACTCAGATAAGAAAATATATTAATATTCTACTCAATATCAGTTCTTCAGAGCTTTGAATATGTTCAAATATGGAAAGTTAAAATGGGACTTTCTTTATTTCTCTCCATGCTTTTTACCAGTGACTTTATAATCACTTGAGCATAGGAGAAAATGGATTATGTCTTCAGCTGTGAAGATAAATTTGGGTCCTTCTGGACATCACATATTCCAGTTGAGCAACAAGTTAGATAATAAAAGGATGATGATTCCCATAGAATGACATCATTCCTAGCTAGGAATGCTAATTTTCTTCTTCATTAGTTAGTTAATTATCAGATTTATATGCAACTTTTCATTAAAAGCAGTTACTCTAAAATAGATTCATTGTTTAAGAAATACCATACAATAACAACAGAATTAACAAGAATGACAATGGGACAATGGTCAATGCATGGGACAAACAAAAGACATCCTGGGCAAAATAAAGCTGCTGTATTTGTAATAACAAGATTCCATGGTAGGACCATCTACCTTGCTATACCAAGGTGTGTCAGGTGTGCCTCCTTTCAGTACTCAAGAAAGAAAAACCCCGACTCCATTTTCATAGAGAAAGGTACTTTTACTGAGTATGAACTGAATGCAACCAAAGAAAAGCAAGGTCTGAGGCAATAGGAGCAAAAATCTCATATAGAAAGCATCCTTAAACCCTCCCCCCAATCATCCAGTCAGGATTATCCAATCCACATCTCCCCCACGAGTCATGTGGGGTGCAGCTTCCATTGGTACCATCCTTCTGGTATGCCATGACAGTTGACCTTGGGTGGTTATCAACGTTCTTTCCAGCTGCACAGAAAATGCTAACAAAAACTTTCTCCCCTCTTCTCCACCAGCTCACTTCCCCCCTCCCAGACATTCAAACAGCTCCCCCTCCCCCCATTAGAATGGCAGCTGAGCAATCAAGCAATAAAACAAGTGAAGGCTGACATTCGGCCTTTGTGCAGAAGAGAAATTATTCCTACAAAAAAAAAAAAAACAGAATAAGGGACAATAGATAATTACATAACCAAGAACATGAATACCACTCCAAAATTAAGGTTTATTAGGGTATTTGGAATAAAATAATTGCAGTTGTTTCAGAGCTCTAACATCTCGCTTATTTACCCATTCAGACTGAGATAAAGGGAAATGTTTCCAGGCCACCAAGTACTGCACCTTACAGCGATGTTTCCTCAAATCCAATATTTCTTTGACTTCAAAATGCTGTTTTCCTTCAATAAGTACAGGGACTGGAGGAGGTTCTTGGTCCGGACACAAAGGGGACGAATGTTCTGGTTTCAGGAAACTGACATGAAACACCGGATGAGTCCTTCACAAGGATTTAGGCAACTCTAATTGCACTGTAACAGGGTTAACTATGCGTACGATAGGGAAAGGACCCACGTATTTGGGTCCACATTTCTTTGACTTTTGGGTAGTTTGCAAGTAGTTGGTGGAAAGGAACACCCTATCTCCTACTTTATAATCTCTACCCTGAAGTCTTTTCTTAGCAGCTTGGACTTTATGAGCTTGGTGAGCCTCGTCTAGGGCCTTACATGTTACGGGCCAGGTACCACGTAGCTGTTCAATCCAGTCAGCCAAAGAACGTATCTGTGGGTTTTCCTGAGGTAACTCCAGGATGGGGACAAAATCTTGGCTGGAGGCTACCTTAAAGGGGGTAAACCCTGTACTGCTATGTATAGAGTTATTGTAGGCGCCCTCTGCAAAGGGCAATAAGTCTGCCCAGTTATCTTGCTGATAATTTATGTAACATCTAAGGTATTGTTCCAACACTGATTAGTTCTTTCACAAGCCCCATTGGTCTGAGGTTGGTGGGTGAAGCTTAACCCCTGGGCAGAGCCTAACAACCCCAGGAACTCCTTCCAAAAGTGGGAGGTGAACTGGACCCCGTCTGTCCGAAATTATTCACTCTGGAGCCCCATGCAGTCTGTACACATGTTGGAGAAACAACTTTGCAAGAGTTTTAGCCAAAGGGATCTTGGGACATGGGATAAAATGCACTTGTTTAGAAAACAAATCAGTAACCACCCAAATGACTGTATTCCCTCCACTTTTGGGCAGTTCAACAATAAAATCCATAGAGATTTCCTTCCATGGAGCTCCCGGCCTGGCTACACTCTGAAGCAGCCCAGGTGGTTTCCCAGGAGGCCTCTTTGCTGAAGCACATATGGGGCAGCTCGCCACGTATGCTTTTATGTCTTTCTTCAGCACTTCAGCACCAGAATTGTCATTTAACTAAGTGTAATGACTACGAACTCAAAATGCCCAGCGATTTTAGCATCATTGGCATATTGTAATACTGTTCCTCTCAGGCTGGTGGGGACATACAGTTTAGCTCCCACCCAGGTGAGCCCCTCTCGAAGTACAGTCATTGGAGTGGGCTAAAAACCACACATCAGTTTTTAGTGCTTCTTTCAGTTGCTCAAGTCGCCAGACAAGGTTAGATCTACTTTTGCCTGGGCTCTGGTAACCACTGGTACCGCCAGCTGTTTCAAGGGGATAACCAGATGAATTACTTCCTCTCTAACACTATTGTATTGAGGCAGTCTTGAAAGGGCATCTTCCATAAAGTTCTTCCCTCCAGGAAGGTAGCGCAGGGAGAAATTAAATCGTTTAAAGTGTTGAGCCCAGCGGACTTGCTTAGGTGACAGCTTTCGTGGCGTTTTCAAAGCCTCTAAGTTTTTGTGATCAGTCCACACCTCAAATGGGTGCTCCACTCCTTCAAGGAAGTGTCTCCACGTTAACAGCGCCCAATGAACAGCAAAAGCCTCTTTTTCCCATATGGCCCACCTCCTCTCGGTCTCCAATAATTTCTGAGAGGTATAGGCACAGGGTTGCAACTTCCCCTCTGCATTCGTTTGGTGTAACACCGCCCCGACGGTCACATCACTGGCGTCAGCCTGAACAACAAACGGGGCTTCTATGTCAGGATGTTTAAGGACTGGTTTGGCAGCAAACAGTTGTTTCAGTTTCTCAAAAGCCCCCTGACAGTCAATAGTCCACTCGAGGGGCTGGGAGGATTTTGGCCTCTCCTCTCCTTTCATTTTCAGAAGATTAGTAATCAGTAAGGCAATTTTTGCAAATGAGGGGATTAACTGTCGATAGAAATTAGCAAAACCCAGGAAACTTTGTAATTGTTTGCGGGTGCGTCAGGGAGCCCATTCCAACATGGCTGGGACCTTTCCTGGATCCATCTCTATCCCCTCATGCAAGATGTGGTACCCCAGATAGTCAATTTTAGTCCAGTGGAATTAACATTTTGATAGCTTAGCATACAGTTCAGCAGCTCTAAGCTTTTTCAGGATGGCCCTCACAAGTTTTACGTGGTCGTCCATGGTCTCGGTGTAAATAAGAATGCCATCAAGGTAGACCAGCATCCCCTTGTACAGGTGTTTGTGCAGTACTTCGTTAATCAGTTGCATGAACACGGCAGGGGCTCCTTGCAGTCCGAAAGGGAGCACCCAAAACTGGAAACATCCCAGCGGGCAGTTGAAAGCAGTTTTCCATTCATCGCCTGTCAGGGCGTTGATTAATCCCATTCTGCTTTTGGGATAATCGCACCTGATTACGAGGGGAGGATTGAGACCTTTCCTTGCAAGTATACTTTAAGAAAACAAAACCCAAAGATATTTTCTAAGAAAACTCATTTATTTGTTATAAAGAAAATAAAACATCTCACTAACTAAGAAAATTAATTGTTACATTTTTGCAAAAGTTCGTGCCGGCTGTTTCTCAGCTGGACTTCTGGCAAGAGAACAAAGGAAAGTGAGAAGCAAGTGAAAGAATGTGGACATGCGTAGTATCAGTTACTGATAAGAAATTTTGGCAAGCTACGGAAAGTCTGACAGTCCAGAAATAATGAGCTCAGCTGGTAAATACAAAAATGCAGTGACATCGCCTTCCTTAATTCAAACTCTATAATACGCCTCCCGCAAGTCCAACTTAGTAAAAAAATTTCCAGGTGGGCTAGCATGTCCTTCATGAGGGGCATGGGGTAGATGTTTTCTATGCAGATGGTATTGAGATTTCGACCACCAGGCGATAAGACCCATCCTTCTCCCAGAATACTACCGGGGTGACTACTCACGGCCTAGCCAGTTGAATGAAGCCGTGTTTTAGGTTTTTATCAATAAAGTCTCGCAGTTCCTCCAACTCCCGGGGGGGTCATGGGGTAGATTTTTGGTTTAGGGAGTTTTACTCCAGGAAGGATTTTTATGCTATAGTCTGTCGGCTGGTGGGGGCGCAGCACATCTGACGCCTTTTCACTGAACACCTCCCAGAGGTCCCAGTACTCTTTTGGGATCTTTTCTTACCCCACAAAGTGATCTGTTGCAGTTGCCGCCCCCTCGCTTGCCACTTTCGCCACACAATAGGGGTCCTCCCCTCTTTCCCTTGTTGATTGGAGAGGATGCACAACACACCTGTTTTCCAATTTATACATGGGTTCCATTTTTGGAGCCAGAGCAACCCAAGTAGGAGGGGCCGTTCCATGCCCAGAGCCATAATAAAACTCAGAGTCTCTAGGTGATCCCCCATCCTCATCTCAATTGGTTCAGTTACAAAATAGGCTGCCCCCCCCAGCCACCGATCTGTCTAGCTGACAGAATGTGATGAGTCTTTTCATTGTTTTTAGTCTTAGACCCATCTGTTCTACGATGTCCGGGCTGATGACACACCTGGTGCATCCCGAATCTAGAAGGGCTAGCATCTGCCTGTGGGCCCCGGTGGATGGTACCTTTAGTTCTACTGGGATGGTCATGGGGGCCCCATTCTGACTTACCAGGAGGTCCTCATCGGAATCGGTTTCAGTTTTGCTGTCATCGGCAATGGTCGGAGTTCCCAACTCACCCTGTTTCAGGGGAGCGAACTCAATGACTTCTACCCCTTTTAGGGCACTTTCGCGGGCTTTCGCAGTTGCTTTATCGGCTCTCTTCCCTCTACTAGGGGTCGCCTTGGTTCCAGACTTAGAGAAACACTCAGCTGCTCGGTGCCCCTCCTTCCCACATCTGAAACATGTGGAGGACTTCGGCTTGGAGCCTGCCAGCCCCACTGCAGTCTTTGGCACCCTTGTGGGATGAGGAGGGTGGTGGATTCCAGGTGCGCCCACCACAGAAACAATCCCTGGCCAAGTCGATCTTCACGTCTGCGGCCAGCACGTACCAACTCTGCAGATCCCTAGGGGCCCCTCGGGAGCAGCAATCTTTGTAGACATCTTCATTTAGCCCATCTTTATAGCTCTCCATTAGGGCTACTTATGACCACCCTTTCATGTAGGGTGCCAACTCATGGAACTCCTGGGTGTACTCCGCCACCCCTCTCCACCCCTGATATATGGACTTCGTTCTAATTCTCACCCTTCACTCGGCTAACGGATCCTCAAACCGCATTCTGAGGGCTGCCATGAATTGGTCATAATTCCTCATCAGGGGGGAATCTTCATTATGGAGTCCCATCATACACTCAGCTGCAACCCCGTCCAGGGCCCTGGTAATCCTCCCCCCAGTCCTGCATGTGGTTCCACACTTGAGTTAAAAAGAATCACAGTCCTTTCGGATCTCCCCCGTATCTTACTGATAGTAAGGGAATTTTGGGCTTGCTTCACCTCCATAGCAGAGCCTGTCCAGCAGGGGGTCCTGGGCTGCAGCCGGGATCCAGAGGCCTGAGCTGTCTCTTCCCGGGATTGGGCGCTCTCTTCCACACAAGCAACAGCCTCCGTTTCACCCCCATGGCATTCATCCTCCTCCCTGGCAGTCAATCCATACCTTTCACGGGCTTTACGACTCTCCACAACCTCTCTCAGTAGTTGCAAAGCATGGGTGATCAGAAGATTTTCTTTCTGCTCTTGCTGACAGGCAGCATCTCCACCTCAGCTTCTGGGAGTTGTTACTCCTTGGGGGGTCTTTTCCAGCTCCAGTAACCTCCCCATGCCCAGCAACCATTTGGCTCTCTCCGGCTTCTCCTCCAGCTGTAAATTAGCCATCTAGTCTGAAGGCTCCCAGCCAGGGTATGATGGGGGAGTCGCTGAGCCAGCCACTCCCATCTGTTCCTGGTTGCTGTCTTGATCAGATATAGTTTGCTCAGCCCCCACGGTAGTTTTCTGGGATGTCTGCTAATTGCAGACCTTGCTTAATGTCAGGTGTGCCTCCTTTCAGTACTCAAGAAAGAAAAATCCCGACTCCATTTTCATAGAGAAAGGTACTTTTACTGAGTATGATCTGAATACAACCAAAGAAAAGCAAGGTCTGAGGCAATAGGCATGAAAATCACATATAGAAAGCATCCTTAAACCCTCCCCCCAATCATCCAGTCAGGATTATCCAATCCACATCCTCCCCAGGCGTCATGTGGGGTACAGCTTCTGTTGGTACCATCCTCCTGGTATGCCATGACAGTTGACCTTGGATGGCAATCAGCGTTCTTCCCAGCTGCACAGAAAACGCTGACGAAAACTTTCTCCCCTCTTCTCCACCAGCTCACTTCCCTCCTCCCAGACATTCAAACAGCTCCCCCTCCCCCCATTACAATAGTAGCCGAGCAATCAAGCAATCAAGCCATAAAAGAAGCGAAGGATGACAGTTGCCCTCCCCATGGTAATGAACATCACAAAAAATAAATAAGCAAACAGACTTTGCTATGGTCTGCAGAGCATCCTTTCCAGAATCACAGGACTGGTATAGAAGCAGATAGTTACTAATATAGTTTGACTCCAAATCAATTAGGAGTCTAGAAGCTAAACAACTATTTTCCTCTCATTTGATTTTTACATTAAAACCTATCCCATTGATGAAAAAAAAATAGTTGTATATTTTGTTAAATTCAACATCCACAAATCAAAGCTCCAGAAACAGAAATAAATTCTACTTCATACCTTCCCCTTGCTTTTTAGGTCTTATCTAGCCAGTCATGAATTGGGAAAACTTAGATGGATCAAAGAATTTGTTTATTTGTATTCTATCTTTATTGTTTTTACAAATAATCCAAGGCAGTGAACATATCCAATACACATTTTTCCTCCTATTGTTCCCACAACAACCCTGTGAGGTGAGTTGGGCTGAGGAAGAGTGACTACTGCAAGGTCACTCAGCTGACTTCTATGCCTAAGGTAGAACTAGAATTCCTGTTGTCTACTCTGGTGCCTTAACTACTAGACCAATGATGTCAGTGATATCAGTAGTAGATTATCTCAGACTCTCATTGACATAAGCAGTTGCTGAGACATGGAATGAATGTATTAATGTATGCTTACCCACACTGTGAGTTCTGTTTCATTGTCGCTTTTCATTTATAAGCTGGTTCTTAGCAGACAGTGAGATTCAGTGAAGTGAGAAGGCCACTGAAAATAAGCAAATAAAATAAAGCTTGTGGAAGCAGGCAATCATTAAAGCTGACATCCTTTCACATATTTATTAATTATGGATCCATTTTGATAATGAGCTTTGTTTAAATTGCTGACAGAGGCATTATGCTGGGTTTCCAAGAACAATGTCTCAAACATGGTCACTTGAGCAGTAAGAAACCCACATCAAGAGTATTCTGAAGAAAAGAAAATTAGCTCTAAGTCATTCAACAAAATGTATATACCATCTGATCCATACAATTGGCCTGTCCCACTAAAACAGCATTGTGCCATCGGGCCAGTGTCAGCTCTTAGAGACCACAAAGATATTGCAGGATTCAATGGTCAGTTACTGAGACCAGACGTTTAGTCTTCTGAGCTTTCAGACTCATGCTGGAGCCGATCCTCAGGGAGCTTCTCTCTCACATTTTGGTGAGAAAGAAGTTCCCTGAAGATGGGCTCCAGCACAAGTCCAAAAGCTCAGAAGACTAAACTTCTGGTCCTGGTGACTGACCCAGATTTGATCCTGCAACATTATCCTGGGACAGGTATATTTGCCTTTATTCCAAAATATATTCTCCATGGTGATCTGTTTCTTACTTGATCCATCAGGTCTTCCAACTACCCTCCTTAGAAAACAAAAGGGTCCACCTGTAAAAATAACAAATATACATAAGATTTCAAGATTTCATGATAGTATATCAACAAGGTTTGTTAGGGTATTGGGAGTGAAATTTTCTCAGTAAGATTAGAGCCCTTGAAACAGCTCACCAAAATATCTTCTGGCCAGTGCACACGACACGCGAGGTCCAGGAATTCTTCAGTATACTCTGCTACTGGCCATCACCCCTGCTTCACCACCTTAATGTGGTCATGTGCTTTGTGATCTGCCAGTGGGTCCTCGAACCGATGTTGCAGGGCCATCATGAAATGGTCAAAATTCTGCAATTCTGGTGCGTTGGCATTATGTAGGGTCACCATCCATCTGGCTGCGGCACCCTCTAGGGTTAGGGTCACAACTCGCACTCAGGATCCTTGGGTTTGGAAATCACGCCCATACTCTTGCACGTAGGTTAGCACATGTGCCACAAAGAATCCTAATTGTTGCGGATTCCCATCAAACTTCACCCCAAGGGGGGGGGGAGTTTCTCTTTCCAGTTGCAGGACCCGGGGCTGGTTGAGAATGGGTGCCAGTGTGCATGCTGCCTGGGGGGGAGGGTTTGCTGGGTCTTCTCCCCCTGCTGCTGCACCCTCTGCTCGATAGGCAGGCTCCAGACAGGGGGTGCCTCCTGTGGCATCCTCTTCAACGGCTGCTCCTTCCGTGCCCTTTGGTTGTTGTCCTGGCTCCCTTCAGATGTTGAGATTTTCCAAAGTTTCCATCACCAATTGGGTTATATGCCTCTTCAGATAATCCTCCCTCAGTGGTGCTTCGGTCAGTCCTCCTTGGTCAGCAAGGACTTCTAGTTCCAGTTTCCACCCCGGTTTTCAGTTGCCACGGTTGAGGGTGACTCCCCTGGTTCTCTCATCCCAGCTATCTTTCTTCCCAATGCCAATTGACCAGCGGGACTTTTCAGGATTCTCCAGGGTTACCTCATCCTCTCCGATGGGGTGCATGAAACAGGCATCTGACTGGGTGGCGGTTGTTGTCTCTCCCCAGCAATCAGTTTCTCCCAGCTCTCTGCTTCGTTCAGACATGGTTTGCAAGGTCCATTCAGTAGAGCGAAGATTGCTTCTCTGGGTTGACCGTTTTGCAGATTGTGCTTTCTGTAAGGATCGCCTCTCCTTCCAACTTAAGAAGGTACGAACTCTTGAAACGTGGTTGTTCAAAAGGATTCTTTTATTAAGCAGAAGTGAAAACCATCCAGCTAAAGCACAATCTGAATGCCCTTAGGCAAAGCAGTAGGATTAAAGTGGTAGAGACCCCTCCCTTTAAGTCAGAATGCAGATTTTAGCCAATACACAAGTGTGAAGATGTTTTCTTTACTATTTCCTTTGAGAACCCGAACAAACACGCATTCCCACCATTACCCTTTAAAGTGAGACAACCCACATGGCTATCCTATAAATTCCTACAGGTAAAAGGAATCTCAGGCCTCCTTGGTGCCAGGATATAGATTGTAAAATATCTGATGACACAGGCCATGCTAGTAATTCAAATCCAAGTCTCCCCTTCCTCCACTTGAATGGCAGTATCACTTTTAGGGATCTGACAGTATTAGAATATTCTATATTTTAAAGCTAAGAAGGCTACACTTATCAATATACAATTGCATTTACATATCATCTGCCTTTCATATGAACAAAGTGGAAGCTTTATAGTGTCCCAAATATAGTGTCCCAAATATTAATTACCTAGTAGTAATAGTAATAAATGTGTTTTGTCTCCCAAGCACCATATTTTTGGGTATCTACAAGATAGTTAAGTAATGCCATACCAACTTTCCCTGCAAAACTCTTCCATTAAATGCATGTATTATCATAATATTATAATATTATGCATATTATGCAGAAATTCACCATCCATTTCCCCAGAAATGATTAGCTTGGGAAAAAGGGAGATTAGGTGGTTTACTTTATTTATTTTTATTTTTCCTTACATGGGCTGAAATGTGAGAAAGAATATAACAGTGTATTTTCTGGTTTACTGTAACAGTTGTATTTTTCTCCTTTATATTCTTTCTAAACCATACTTTACTGAATAAATCCAGTTTTCACAACACTGAAGTTCACAACATTAAACGTCACTGGCTGAATTCACATAATAAAGTGAGATATAAACTGGTCATTTACTATTTAGTATGATCTGTGAACCCCATCATATTTTGAAAGCTATAAACCATAATTCAATGTCAGTCATGACTAGGACATTGTAGAACCCCAATTTTACAATTGAATGGACTAGATCCATGTTTCTCAACCTGGGCAACTTTAAGACACGTGGACTGAGGAACTTTAAGATGCTGGCTGGGGAATTCTGGGAGTTGAAGTCCACGCATCTTAAAGTTGCCCAGGTTGAGAAGCACTGGACTAGACTACTCCATACAGTTGAGATTTTACTTCATCATGCAAATGTCCTGAGAAGAGAGATTTTTATTTCAGAACAGAAAAGTAAGATATTACTTTTCAAGATTAGCCTGGACAGATTTTGTATGAAAAACCAATGAGCTCTTCCCCTGCAATTTCCTTATGATAGAATAGAATAGAATAGAATAGAATAGAATAGAATAGAATAGAATAGAATTGAATTGAATTGAATTGAATTGAATTGAATTGAATTGAATTTTTATTGGCCAAGTGTGATTGGACATACAAGGAATTTATCTTGGTGCATATGCTCTCAGTGTACATAAAATAAAAGATACGTTCATCGAGAATCATAAGTTACAACACTTAATGATAGTCATAGGTTACAAATAAGCTATCAGGAAACAATATCAATATAAATCGTAAGAATACCAGCAACAAGGTTACAGTCATACAGTCACAAGTGGGAGGAGATGGGTGATGGGAACGATGAGAAGATGAGAAGATTAATAGTAGTGCAGACTTAGTAAACAGTTTGACAGTGGTGAGAGAATTATTTGTTTAGCAGAATGATGGCGTTGGGGAAAAAACTATTCTTGTGTCTAGTTGTTCTGTTGTGCAGTTCTCTATAGCGTCGTTTTAAGGGTAGGAGTTGAAACAGTTTATGTCCAGGATCTGTAAATATTTTCATAGCCCTCTTTTTGACTCGTGCAGTATACAGGTCCTCATTGGAAGGCAGGTTGGTAGTAATTGTTTTTTCTGCGGTTCTAATTATCCTCTGAAGTCTGTGTCTGTCTTGTTGGGTTGCAGAACCAAACCAGACAGTTATAGAGGTGCAGATGACAGACTCAATAATTCCTCTGTAGAACTGTATCAGCAGCTCCTTAGGCAGTTTGAGCTTTCTGAGTTGGCGCAGAAAGAACATTCTTTGTTGTGCTTTTTTGATGACATTTTTGATGTTAGCTGTCCATTTTAAATCTTGCGATATGGTAGAACCTAGAAATTTGAAGGTCTCTACTGTTGATACTGTGTTGTCTAGTATTGTGAGAGGTGGAAGTATGGAAGGGTTTCTCCTAAAGTCTACCACCATTTCTACAGTTTTGAGGGTGTTGAGTTCCAGATTGTTCCGGTCGCACCACGAGGCTAGTTGTTCAACCTCCCATCTGTATGTGGATTCATCATTGTCTCGAATGAGACTGATCATTGTTGTGTCATCTGCGAACTTCAGTAGTTTAACAGATGGATCATTAGAGATCCATCTGTGAGAGAAGAGAAGTGGGGAGAGCACACAGCCTTGGGGGGACCCTGTGCTAATTGTACAGGTATCTGATGTGATTCTGCTTAGCTTCACCTGCTCCTTCCTGTTTGTTAGGAAGCTTATGATCCACTTACAAGTATGTTCAGGTACCTGTAGCTGGTTTATCTTAGTTAGAAGAGTGTCTGGAATGATGGTATTGAATGCTGAACTAAAGTCTACAAAGAGGACCCTTGCGTAGGTCTTTGGAGATTCAAGATGTTGTAGGATGTAGCGCAGAGCCATATTAACAGCATCATCTGTTGATCTATTTGCTTGGTATGCAAATTGCAAGGGGTCTAACAGTGGATCCGTGATGGTTTTCAAGTGGGACAGCACTAGCCTCGCAAAGGTTTTCATGACTACAGATGTTAGAGCAACTGGTCTGATAACGAGAAATACTATGCCATCTTTGCATATCAAATTGAATGCTTTTGAACTCATGCTTAAACCAAGTCCCAGAAAATTCTTTAGCATGAAAACCATATTAGGTCAATAAGCTTATGGCATTATCTGCTCCTTGGATGGAATTGTTGTGAAATTTAGCCCAAAGTGTTATTTGATACAAATTTTGAGAGATGTCAACTCAATTTCAATATTACCATTGCTGAAACCTCTCTGCTGGCTTTTATAACTATTTTTATCCCTAGAGCTGTCTCTAAAGCTGACACGTTTCAGACTGGAGCTTCCATTGACTACTAACATGATATTAATGGAAGAAAAAAGCCTATAAAAACTCTTTTATTTTTCAGTTGAATAGCCTGTCAGAACACATATTTTTTTCACCTTCTAGCATTTGGTCATAATTAGTCTGCAAATCCACACATATGTACCTTGGCAGAACCGCAATGAATTCAACTGGGTTTATTTCTAAGTAGAGAAGGAAAAGATGGCCCTCTGATCTTCCTTGAAAGAAAAATATCAATTCTTTGTTCAAAGGAAGAACCTTTGCATCTCCATAAAGCACAAGGATTAACAGCCACCTCTTCCTTATTGTTCAAGGGAAAGCTTTCAGCATAACTTAAAAAAAAAACAAAAACGAACATTCCTTTTCAAAAAGGCTAATGTTGACATGATACGAAACAGTGGTGTTTTGTTTATTTTGAACAACTGAGGTGAGCAATATTTTGGTATTTGGGATGTAATTAACACATTTGGAAGAGGGAATGGTTGTACAAGGCAAGGTGGGGATAAAAAGTGGCTAACCAATATAACACACAGGGTGAGATTGAAATTGTCTCTTCCTTCCTTCCTTCCTTCCTTCCTTCCTTCCTTCCTTCCTTCCTTCCTTCCTTCCTTCCTTCCCCCTCTCTCCCTCCATTCCTCCCTCCCTCTCTCTGTTTCCATATGTTGAGCCTATTTGTAAATGTATATTTTTAGGCACTTCCTATCTTACAGGGACATCCATGGGGGTGTAAAAAAAGTCAACATGGCAGCTGAAATGTCATGACTTGAGCCACACTCCTTTTGATGCTTGCTGTGTCTGCCATGTTCATAAAAAGGGATGGGTCTTCAGTCCTACAGTTGCAACTGCCACCTTGACTTTTCAGCACTCTTCTGCTATAGATAGATTTGGTGACTTAATATGATAGGAAGCCCCACCAATGACTTCCAGTAATCATTTCATGAAAATCAGCCACAGAATTAGAAGGGACTCTAACAGTTGCCATAGAATATAGTCCTAAAATATACTATCCATTCCTATGATACAAGATTAAAGGCTGGAAATAATCTTTCAAGAACAGGTTGGTAACTTGCTGTTCGATGTTTTTAGCAGCACTGGAACATCCAAAGGAGTTTTAAAAGGAAAATTTATAATAATTACAATATGAATTCCATATCAAGTAGGATTTATTTTTGAATGTATAGGATTAAGAGTTTAAGGTTAAAGACCATATTTAATATTTTGCATACATTAGTAGTGGTAAAAGTTCTTTTCTTTTTCCCATTTCCTAATAAACAATAGCTAATTCTGATCAATTGTTATTAAATTATATAGGCATGATATGGGGTTAGGGTTAATAGTAGTAGCATTTGTTTTACAAAGCTGGAGTGCTTAATATTAATTTTTAAGCAGGGGTGAGCAAATCTAATGAAATTTACTTTCATTCACTAGTCATAAATTATCTCCTCTTTCTCTACTAGGTATTCAGATTAAAAAACAGCAACCACAAAAAGCTCACACATTTTCATGTATATTTTTGTATGTTTCATAAGTATATACAATTTTGTTTCCCAACCCCCTTGAAAATATTCTGTGCCATGTAGTGTTTGTTTAAAATAGATATTTTCAATGCATTTTAAGAAGAAAAAGGGAAAGGATGGAGGATAAAATAGAAAAAAGAATGACATGTAGACAAGAAGAGAAGCAGGAAAAGAAATATCCTAATCCATCCATCCATAATTCAAAGAAAGAAAATGAGAGACTTAAAAAAAATCATATCATTGTGTCCTTAAAACTACTGACCTTCTCAGTGTTGGCACAAGGGAAAGGAACACTAAAACAAGACATCTTTGCAGCTGATGGGTAATAAAATATGGCAATAAAGTGCACAGAGGCTAATTATTTTCATTAGACAACTAGGACAGAGCAGAAAGTTAATGCACCAAATGTAGCACAGCACAGCAAACCTTTAAAAAGAATATGGAGGGGAAAACAGTGCTATAACCTCCCAC